CCCCACCACCCTGAAAATCCATAACCTATGCTACAAAATATTTTCTGAAACATTTTCTTTTAGATTGTTCCACTTTTGCTCATTAGTCAATMATTATTCCATTTTTTTAGCATGATAATTTTATAAGAGGGGGTTATTATGTATTTTCCAGGCACTTACAATATACTACAAACAAGTTATATTAATTTGTTGTGAAATTGTTGTATATAAAATTAAATTTAACTTTCCATCATATTTTAAATGCCTTGAAATTGGCCTCTGTCTCTTGGAAGCTCCGAATATTATCAACATTCCCACTTCAACATGTTTTCAAACAATTCTTCAGGGGTGAGGTCCTCTGGAGGGGGAAGCTCAGCTGGGGACTGAGCTCCAGGAAGGAGCTAGGTACAATAGGCAGTGCTATGTACCAGCAAGCATTTAGGCAGCTTCAAACRACTACCACAGGAGATTYAAGGATTTCTTAAACTTGCATGAATGAGTTGTGGTGGAACTAATACTTTTAGGTTTAAGCCAGTAATTTATGACATACTTTAATGACCTAGATTTGCATGACATGTTGTTTATCAGCAGATAGAATGATTAAAATCAGAACAAGATTTGCTAACAACAGTCATTCTTAGATAACACTTGTGTTTATCTTTGTGTTTTCCCTTGACCTAGGATGAAATCTTGCTAAGATGACATAATAGTGTTTGTTAAACAGTATATATGAGGCCTCAACTGTCTCAGGAAAGGCAGAAGCATAGAGACAAGGTAGAGAGCAGGGGGACAGTCTGATGTTGTTCTCTGTGTTCCTGTTGTTGCAATAAAACTCAGCCGATCATTTCCACGAACTACCTTCATTCTTGGACCACGTATTTCTGTCTTTGTTAAATAAATATTTCCATAACGGCGTTGTTGCAGGGCCCACTAGGAGATCGACGGACCAAGGCCACATCGCAGGTGGTCTGATGTGAATGTGCAAGGACTGCTCAGGACCGTGACTCCAGCTGAACCAAAAGAACCTTTTTAACAACAGAAATACGTTGATGACCACTGACCATGCTGGATGATCTTGAATAAGCACAGAACATTGGATTTTATTTTTGGCTGTTGAAGAACCTGAGAAGATTTTGGAAAAATCAACTGCTGAGAGTGAGTACAGAAAAGCTTTCTTTCTTTTCCAAAGAGGATTTCTGCCAGTTTCTCCAAAAGGTCATGGTGTTGGAGCTCAAGATTCATCGTCTGGAAGAGATGAATGCTTTGGTGGACTCAACATGTGTTCAAATGGGTGAGAAGGCTGAGAAGAGAGATCAACTGGACAAGGAGATGGGAGCTGCTTCTGAGAGTAAAGCTGTATGGAACTCTCTTGGTGGCAGACCAAAAAATCTCTCAGGGAGGATTCAGCTCTTAGATGACAACAAATGGCCAGAGTTACAGAGAAATGCTTTTCTTCTACCAGCAAGGAGAATAAAGCAGAAACAGGCTGGAATCAGAACAACTGATAATAGCCAGAGAAATTAAGATGGAGCAGTCTTTCTTCAAAACAGATTCACACCACTGGAAGAAACTGAGTCTGAACAAAGTTCATTTGCTGATCTCAGAGATGGACCTGAGRTCAGATTCAGCTCAAAGCCAAAACAAGTCCAAAGAGAGACTTTCAAGAATCAAGAAATGCTGATYATCACAGATAAAATGGTAAATGAGATCAGAGACTTTTGGAACAAGAAAAAAGTCAAASCTCTAAGTTTTGCTGATAAAGTGTCTGACCTCAGAGAGAAGATTCTGGAAATCACAGCTGAGTATCCAGCTCTGAAGACACTCATCATTCATATGGGAAATAATGAGGTTATGAACCGACAATCAGAAATCCTGAAAAAGGATATCATTCAGTTGTTGAATGCAGTTAAGAATCTCAACATGGATGTGTTGATCAGTGGACCAATTCCTACAGCCCGAGAAGGTGCTGAAAGATTCAGTAGACTTTCGCCCTTAATCGTTTTTTGGAAAAGTCCTGTGCTGACCACTTTGTGAGATATGTGGACAACTTTTATCACTTTTGGGAGAGACGACATCTGTTCAAGTCTGATGGACTGTCTCTGAATCAAACTGAAGCACAACTTCTGGCTTCCAACATGAAGTATTTCCTGAACCAAGTTYGAGCTGGAAACAAACAACAGTAGAAATCACAACAGCTAACGTCTGAAGGACAGCTAGAGCGAACCGAGACACAGATGGAAAACAATGTGCAAGTTACTGATAAGGGGACTGCTGCAGTATCAGAGAGAGAGGAGTTACTTCAAGCTGCAGAACGGGAAAAACAACTGGATTCAGCCTCACAAAAAGAGGATCTGGGAAAGGTGTTTCCCCAAACTCCAACAGGAGAACAGCAAGGCCCCACTTCTTCTCCACCAGAGGAACCAAAACCATCAACTAAGAATGAAGATGTAAGACCTACTTCCAGAAAAAGACCACAGGTTGTAGATGACATTGAGGACTCTGTGGAACAAGTAGACTATTGTTTGGAGTTACGCACAAAGCTACAGCATTATTCGGCATGGTATAAAGAAAATGGGACAGAAAAGCTGTTTCAAGGGTGGAAAGAGAGAATTATGAGCAAATATCCTGATGATGAATACTTTGTGTGGGAGAAATAAAAATTGAATTACTGGGGTTGGGATTTCAGAAAAGTACATATACTTAGGTTTGTGTTGACATAATTTTTGAGGTTTTTTTTTGTTTTATTGATCATTTAATTGATCATTTAATGATCAGATGGGGGAGTGTGGGAACTAATACTTTTAGGTTTAAGCCAGTAATTTATGACATATTTTAATGACCTAGGTTTTCGTGACATGTTGTTTATCAGGAGATAGAATGATTAAAGTCAGAACAAGATTTGCTAACAAGTCATTCTTAGTTATCACTTGTGTTTATCTTTTTGTTTTCCCTTGACCTAGGGTGAAATCTTGCTAAGAGTACATAATGGTGTTTGTTAAACAGTTTTTATGAGGCCTCGACTGTCTCAAGAAATGCAGAAGCACAGAGACAGGGCAGAGAGCAAGGGGACAGTCTGATGTTGTTCTCTGTGTTCCTGTTGTTGCAATAAAACTCAGCTGGTCATTTCTACGATCCTTCATTCTTGGACCACRTATTTCTGTCTTTGTTAAATAAATATTTCCATAAAAGAGTCAAAGCAACACTCGGCGTATGATGTTGATAAGGGAATGACATTATAACATGTTATAAAGCTCCAAAAAGTTGAATTTGCATAATCCTCCCCAACAAACATGTTTTAACCACTGTATTATTTTCCAACTGAATAAACCTTTCAACAAACTGTTGACGATAAGTTATTGTTATAACTTATAATAAACATCAACTAATTTTGCTAAGAGTGAGTCCACTCATCTTGACTTGTATTGTCAACAAAACAACAGAAATTTCCAATTTTTTACCATTTTTGTAATAAATAATAAGCTTTAAATGTATTCTATTTAAAGATGACGTGCCACATTCAGAAATTTTRGAGCCAATTTTTACATTTTCAAAAATTTTTTCAGTGTGCTGACCTATGTTTTGACCTTGTCCTTTTTTTTTAGGTATGCGCATCCTGGTAACCCTGCTGCTGGACACACTGCCCATGCTTGGGAACGTGCTGTTGCTTTGCTTTTTTGTCTTCTTCATATTTGGGATTGTTGGTGTCCAGTTGTGGGCCGGCTTGCTCAGAAACCGATGCTTCGTCAAAGACAACTTCTCCTTGTGAGTTGCATTGCTTTGATTGGTYGTAAGGCTTTATCCATTCCTAATGACTTCAATTTTTATGTTTATTTAATAATAACTGTTAAAAGATAAATGTTTTTTTATTATTATTTTGGGTCTGTCAGTTGTCCATAACTGATACAGTGTATATCTGGAATGTTACACAGAAGTGAAAAAAACATAAAATTACAGGAGAAATTTTGAAAAGTGTYGGTGTCCAAATTTAAACGTACATCATTTTTCTTCTATAAAATCTAATTTTATTTGACATTTACTTCTGTAATTTTCAAAGCTATGACACGTACCTTTATGTATTAAAGAAGTGTATCAAGAAACAAGATGAAAAGAAGTGTCAAAGCTGATGCCAGTGGCTCATTAGGATCACCACAGTAACCCCACGCCTGTCTCTCATTTCCTAGCAGTACTCATACCAAGACATGCAGACAAAAACACAGAGTAAAAGTAAGCCTTGGGCAAGGAGTCACTGTGCAGCAATTTTTGAAAAGATTTTGGAACCAAAAATGTGATGGTGTGTCATACTCAAGAACACCAAAACATATAGTAGGAATGGCAGATAATCAAACCTGCAACTTTTAAGTGCTGCGTTGGCTACCCTACAACTGCTCCATTGCTTCCGATGTTGGAAGGACGTGTGGCTATAGTATTTTATATAAGCTATACGATGAGTTTAAGTCCCATCACTTTCAGTTTTTAGGAGAAAATTTTGAGCTCAGATACAATAGAAGAGATTGAGACTTTATGTGCACTCTACACTTTTAGAGGAATATGAGCGAAAACAGTAAGCTGTAAAGCAGTGAGAGACACACTGTGGAACAAAAAGGGGTTTTTGTTTTGATGTTTAAATTTCATTAAAATGTGAAGATTGTATAAGWAAAAAAATGATTTGGAAAATTTAGACAGTTTAAAAATGAGAGTGACATCCTCACATTGAGTCAAACAGTTCATTGCAAAATCTCCAAAAACTTTGAAGATATTCACAGAAAAATTGGGTGGAGGAGTTGAAGCACCCACATCTGCCTCCAACCTCATTTGTCCCACTCTGGGCCATTGAGCAAAGAAGGCCCTTAACCCCCACATTTTCTCCCCTGTATACTACAGGGGTTTGACAAAAAACTGAAACACCTGGTTTTAGACCATAACATCCCTTTCAGACAGCTTCCTCTTGCGTCCACAGTTAATCCTGTTGGATGTGGTTTGTCCTGGTGGTATGCTGACATTACCCTGGATACTGTGGCTCTTGATACATCACAAGGCGTTTACGCACTGCAGGGCCGGCCCCGACCCGGCCCGGCCCGACTTCTAACCTGGGTTCGGCGGTTGTGCATAGGCATAGTAGGGCCGGTTCCAGCCCGAGTTCCGGAACCTGGCCAGYCGAGGTTCCAATCGGGCCGGCCCGTTTTGACGACTTATTTGTTTTGCTCTGACAAGTCAAAACGAGTCTGGCAAATCATTAAAAAACATATAYTGTAGATCTATGAAAAAGCAACTGCTTTCATAACGGTAGCATGTAAAAAGCTAATATTGTTAGCTTACTCGTCGATTCCATCTGCTTCTTGCTATAGCTGCTTTCTGTTGCTGTTGTGTGGCCAAGTACAGCCTTCGGAAACTCTCCACTCTTCTGCGCATCACCATTCGTCGTCTCACTCGACGTTTAAGGACTGTTATGCGCGCTTTTCCGGTAAACAGTTTCCACCCAMTTCGAGGCGGCTCTGATGACAGTGCAAAACATCCAGGGCTGGGCAGGGCCGGACCTAGGCCATCTGGGGGCCGGGGCCAGCCGGGGCCGGCCCTGCAGTGCGTAAACACCTACAAAGACTTTCTGTCTTGGTCACAAATGCGCCAGCAAGATGTGCACCAACAATTTGTCCTCTTTTGAACTCTTGTTTGTCACCCATAATGTTGTGTGCATTGCAATATTTTGAGTAAAACTGTGCTCTTACCCTGCTTATTGAACCATCACGCTCTGCTCTTACTGGTGCAATGTGCAATTATTGAAGATTGGCCACCAGGCTGGTCCTATTTAGCCATGAAACCTCCCACACTAAAATTACAGGTGTTTCAGTTTCATTGTCTAACATTGTCTGTAGATGGCAGGCAGCGCCCTGCTCCATGCTCGTGGTTTATGGTAGTTCAGTGGTCATTGATTGCAACAGGAAAAATATCTTGCGTGAAACAATTGCCAAATCTTCAWAYGAGTTCACTCACTGTGGCAACCTCTGAAGAAGGAGGCAGCCAAAAATTAAAAAAAAGATTGCGGGACAGGTGTTTCAAAACTTATCCATTGTCTCCCCTATTTAACTTACTTTGACCTAAACATTTTATTTTAGTTTTGGTCTTTACATGGGAATTTCCCTCCTCTTTACTCATTTGAACTGAGCTCTTGCTCAAAGCCCTGTCACACTGACGTTTTGGACMATTTATGCCAACTTATGAAAATTTTAGAGACATCTATGTTGAAGATAGAACTGAAATAATCAACTGGAAGCTTCTTTTAGGCATGTGCATACTGTAATTCTAACAAACTGATCTAATATACAACTTTTATTAGCAAGTTAGACATAAAAATGTTTTATAAGTTGGCATAAGTTGTCTAGTGTGACAGGGCCCTTATCAAGCTATACCCATGTTCCTATCTGTCACCTTACATAAAACAATATTTTTCCACAGACAAAACAGATCTTTTTTCTAAAAATCTGCAATGCTCTGTTTTTACCATAGCCAATAGAATACAACAAGGTGATGAAAATAGAAATATTTTTGGCTTTGGTAGTGTTTTTAACAGCCATTTTATTCTCTGACAAAATACTGTAGTTGTACAGTTAAATTTTCATTCAGTATTTTTTAATCGAAACTGTCAGATTTAAAGTGATCTTTTTGCTTTTACTATAACAGATAAGCATTCAACCGGAAAAACGGTTGGAACTGAAAAATAAAACATGTTGTACTAGTTCCACTTGACCCCATTGTTATATTACAACTATGGCCTCCAAGTATCACAAGTGAACACAATGATAGGGTTGTAGATACCACTGTCTCAATACAACTGTAAGTGAAAATCGTCGTTCTAAACTGGTTTGAAAGTATCTTCAAAGAGTGAACTTACGAAACGGGGTCATACTCCAAAAGTCACTGAGGTTAGTGACTCCAAAGTCACATTGCAGTGATGAATAGAGCAGAGACAGATCCTGAAGTAATGAAAAAGATCCTGTATGGTCCATGCTCCTGTACTGTATATGGAACATGGACACCCATGACTTATTCATGTTCCATGTGTCACCCAGGGTTCATTACTCTCTATAGGATTTATGGCACCTCAGATCTGTAATTTAAGTTCATGCATTATGCCTTTGGTGAGCAGATGTATTTTTTGTCGTCACTGTCAGGCTTTTTTTTTGCAACCATATGGTGCCTGTGAGGTATGTGTTTATGTATCACATAAATGGCACACTGTTTAAGCTTAGCACTATAGCAAATGTATCTGTTTTAATGGCAGCTTTCACTTCTCTGGTCACACATCACTCAGACATATTCCAGTGCTTTAGCAACAGCTGCAAGCTGGACTGATGGCTTCTTAAAAAGAAAAATTTATATATTACGAGTATTTGAGATCACTCTGCAGGAGCTACATCCCACGTGGCATGTTGAGTTATGATGAATGGGTAGGGTGGCATGCTCAGCTCATCAGGCACATAAGTGCTCTTGCACATCATCCCAATGTGTGAAACAGCTTTTAAGAAAGATAGTGTGAAGTGGTCCCCAAGTGCAGTGGGATTGGTCTAGTCACACAATGTGAGAGATGCTACCACAATTAATAAAACTGGCCCACTGAAGGTACGCTGACAGATGAGCCAGATATAATGCAATCATCAGACACACAGTCGCTTCCAGATTGAGAGGTGTTCTGTGACAGGCATACCAAGAAGTGCTATTGCAGGCAGATATTTCATTTCATTCGACTTGCTTAATACACATAAAGGTCTCCCCAGGTATTTGACATTAATAAAATAATATAGTCAAAGTTGGCTTTTCTAAATTTCAGCTACCTTCTTAAATGAGTGTTGATCAGCAAAATTAGCTTATGTGTTGTAAAATGCAATTAACAGCAGCAGAATAATAGGCTTTGAATTTCATCGACTTTACAATTTGCACAAAAAAGCAGAATCATGGTGCAATGTTATAATAATCAATCTTTGTAACAATTTCATCCAAACCAAAATCACRGGCAGCAGTTTAATAACATAAAGAGAAGATAGATCAATAAAAGCGCACCAATCACTGTAATTTATTTCATAAAAAACATAGAGGGTTAGATTTTCATTACAAATTCTCATATTTAAAGACGTCTTCTAATGTGTTGTGGAAAAAAATATCAATATTATTGCAAACAAAATGCAATTTATACAACTGACTTTGTTGGAAATCCCATATCATATACAAATGGGTGATTGTTTTTTATTCACACCAATAAACATTGAAAAAACACCAGCATTTCCAGAGACTGGTCTCATGTAAACAGGGCCTTATATAAACCACAACTGAATGATTTAAATGTAAAAAGCAAGGATTTAACCTGTTAACCCCTCAAGCCTCGATGTACCACCCGCAGTACATTTCCAGTTTGTGGTTACTTCTTGCCTTTTTATAGCCTGACCCATGCTACCAGGGACTTTTAAAGGGGACCAATTATGGGTCCTAGAAATTTTTATGGTATGTATGTGGGCTATCCAGACCATGTTCRTTCAATTTAATGCACAAAATAATTCTCAGATAATAAAATTTCCCATTTTCTAGTTCTGCCTGCTCTGACTTCCRTTCAGAAGAGCTGTTTATGTTAATGAGCTCTGTTGGTAACBCCCTCCAAAAATCTGTTGACATTAACTCCGCCCTCCAAAGCCAGCGTTAGCATGGTTAATAACAGCAGAAGCTCTGTTGTACAACCGTATATATATGAGACCCTGAGTCAGACCCAGAGCCAGAGTCGTGGTCGCAGCTTTTTTTTTCCTCCCCCTCCTCTGCTCTGCCCTCACTCTGCATGCTGTTACCAGAGCAGGGGGCAGCAGCGGTCAAAATACCTCAGAAACTTGAAAAAATAGGCTTTAACAARGCTTTAATAAGCTAAACAATAGAGGTACATGAGAAAACGTGTTCATAACAAACAAAAATGAATAATTAAATTGTGTCCAAGCCAGTTTCAAACCCTGGTCTCCCATTCTTTGGTCCAACGATCTACCCATTGCCCTATTGGAGGCTTGATGTGAAATAATCTGCACATTGTACAACAACAACCGTGATGGCTTTTTATACTGAGGAGGTGGAGTCTCACCCAGGGGTTGCTAGGTGCTGGGCTGAACGCAGGTTCCGGTGGGTTGTCGTACGGCTTTTAACATCACAAAATGTAGGAAGTATAAAACTTGTCATTAATATACATTTAAAATACATTTACTTACAGTAAATATGCCCCTGGGTGCAATTTTTTGGTCCTAGGACTGTTTTTTTAAGAAGTACATACCCAAAGTTGAGTAAAAAAACCTTTAAAAGGTGAATTTTGCATAATAGGTCCCCTTTAATTTGCACGGTAGGCAATTCAAACAATTCAATTGTTTTTTTTTTTTTGATTGACACCTCTTTTGACCAGCTGGGTTCATCTATAGACTCTCCAGAGTACAAAATGTGTGGCAAGCCCCTCGTGTCCCACCCATACGTGGTACACGTGAATGATTGCCTAGAATCGGCCAATCAGCTCTGAGCTTCCTTCTGACACCACAGCTGTGTACCCAATCATGTTACCTTGTATTCAATATACAGATTTAGACATTTAAAAAGTAATAATAGTTTTAGTGTATTTAACTCCAATAACTACATACTAGTTACAGTTACCAAAATTATGAGTGCTGAAGTTAAAAATTCAGATTTATAGCTTTGCATAGAGACTAGGCTTTTGAATTTACTACAAAGGGTTCAAGAGCACTATACCATTAACTTTGAAAAAAATTCCAAAACTGCTTATCAAATAAAAGCTAACTTTATTGCCCACACAGCTGTGGAGTCAGAATGATGCTCAGAGCTGACTGGCTGATTCTAGGCAATCAATCATGTTTACCACKAACAGGTGGGACATGAGGGGCTTGTCACATATTTTGGGCTCTGGAGAATCTATAGATGAACCCAGTTTGTCAAACCTGGTGTCAATCGAAAGAAGGCAACCAATCAAATTGTTTAAACAGCCTATTATGGAAATTCAAAGTCTCTGGTTGGCTATAAAGAGGTAGGAAGTGGSAATGTACCGTGGGTGGCACCTCGATGGTTAGTTTTATAAAATTTTACTCCATCTACTTTATTTGTTTAAAGCCTTTTCATAAAAATAGAATTCGGAAACTAATGGATCATTTCAATTTTTTAAATAAATTAAATGTCCTTATTCTAAGCATAGATTATGACTATAAAGCCAAAGACATTCCAGAAGGTGACAACGAGCAGAGGCTGAATCAAGAAATAGTGATTTTTGCTTTAAGTGATTTATCTGACAAGAGGTTAGGAAACACAGGCAAGATAAGATGAGATAAGACAAACACAGTACAAGTATACAATTCTGCATGCTAATGCTTTGCAGTGCTGATTAGTCAATAACACTTACAATGTTTTTTTCTCTCTTCTACCTCCTCAAGCCCTCTGTCTGTGGAGCTTGGGAAGTACTACCACACTGAAAATGATGATGAGAACCCCTTCATCTGTTCCATGCCACGAGATAATGGCATGAGGGACTGCGGCTCGGTACCCAAGCAGTATGATGAGGCAGGCCAGCAGTGCAGTCTAGACATTGACTCTTACAACAGCACGGACAATACCACTTGCGTCAACTGGCACCAGTACTACACCAACTGCTCCGCTGGTCTCATCAACCCCTTCAAGGGAGCAATAAACTTTGACAACATCTGTTATGCGTGGATTGCCATTTTTCAGGTGAGCATCAAGTGGACTGAAGAAGCAGTGTGATATTAGGAAAACAGAGCAGAACATTTTCTACAATGGGAAAATTTCTGGCTGGTTTGGATGATTAACAGTCGTGTAGAATAACAGAAAAAGAAGCCCAATCAAAAACGGGTGCATCAGAGGAGCAGGGTTTACAAACTTAGCAAGTCCCAGCCACATCACCAAACTGCAGGCTCTTCATTTGTTATTTGTACCCACATCATCAGAAAGGGTTGAGTCCTGTGAAAAAGTCTGGCTTTGCTTTAGTTGTCCTGTCTTGGATAAAGTGAAGGAAATTTTGTGACTGAATAACTAAATTTTAGAGACTGTCTTGTATCTTATAATGTATGATCAATTTTAGTCATTTACTTTAAACAATATGTTTCTACTTAATATGTGTGTCCCTCTGCAGGATAAACAAAAACTTAATTAAGATTTGCGGTATATCAGTGCTGACAAAGAGGAACAACTCCAAGGGGTGTTACCAGGGTGTTCTTTAAATTGCATTTTTGTTCTGATTAGACTCAGGGCCACAGACAAGCAGCTTCTCTGAGCTTGAAATAGTTTATAGATCTGAAGAATAAATCTTTTTAACTGAGAGCTAAACTTGATTTTCTGCACAAATATTCGAGCATCCAATTTTTAAACTCTAACAAAACCATTCAGACAAAATGATGGGAATAATTTTTTTACCTGAGTGTTTTATTTAAAATACTTTAATCTATTTTGATATAAGTTTGATCTTTATTTTTGTATATTGTCTATCAGGTATAACTTTAGATTTGTCTTCTTGTACTTCACTGCCTTTGTTTCTTTTTAGGTGATTACTCTGGAGGGATGGGTTGACATCATGTACTTTGTGATGGATGCTCACTCTTTTTACAACTTCATCTACTTCATTCTACTCATCATTGTAAGTGACACAACTTGGTAACAGTGGTTGTGTGTTGGTGTGTGTCTGCTGATGGTCAGCTAATGAGTAGAGTAATGGTAGGCATCCAACCAAATAAGATGAGTAACAGCATCTTCTTCTCTTTTATAGATTGGCTCATTCTTTATGATCAACCTGTGCCTGGTGGTCATAGCTACTCAGTTCTCAGAGACCAAGCAGAGGGAGAGCCAGCTGATGAAGGAGCAACGAGTGCGCTTCATGTCAAATGCCAGTACTCTGGCCTCCCTCTCTGAGCCGGGCTCCTGCTACGATGAGCTGCTCAAATATCTGGTTCACATTATTCAAAAAGGAGCCAAGCAAGTGGTGCATGCCTGCAGGTTTTTAGCTCACCATGCAGGGCTTAATGTCGCTGCTTCATCACCACCTACAGAGCCCCAACGCAGTCAGAGCAAGAGGAGAAGGAGGAAGTCCTCTAGGCAGGGGTCTGTATCAGTTCATCACCATCATCATCATCATCTGCATCACTACCATCTAGGGAATGGTAGTGTGAGGGATGGAGAGAGCATCAGGTGTCTGGAAGGGCAGGATCTTGAAGCTGGGAGTCGAATCAAACATGAAGGGCCCCACAGAGCAACCACTGGAAGTTGGCACACTGCTTTGGCACCACTATCTACTATGACAGCAACAACTTCTGACTCAAACCTTGCCACTTTATCTAATAAAATTGCAGAATCTGCCAGTTCACCTTCAGGTTGTAGTCCACTCAGCAAAGGAGCTCCTTGTTTCTTTCCTGTCAGTCCAGGAATAGCTCCAGTCACTTACTTGGCTCCAGCTCCAAAGTTGAGAGTCATGAAGAGGAACTCTGTGCCATTTGCTGCCCCTGCACCTAAAAACTACCCCACCCTCCAGGCTCGAGCCTTAGCAGAGTCCAGACGAGGAAGCATTGCTGCCAGCACACTAACAAATATCAGTTTTAACCTCAACATCCCACCAATGCCTTTGGAGAGACGACCATCGAGCCTGGTGGACACACATACTGCAACAGGTAGTCACACACCAACCTACAGTGGCTGAACTCACAAACGTGAGACTAGTCAAAGATGTGTTAGAAAAGTTACATTAAGCCAGTATCTCACTGGGCTGTGATTATTGGAGACTAGTTGGTGAATAGTTTTAATGAGGGATGCTCCAAAATATCTTGAAATTTTGGATGAGGTTCTCAATTTTCTCACAAGTCCCAATTCTGAGGCTTGAATTTTTAAAACATTTCAAAGATTTACTATGAACATTCTCCCTGATTAATTACAGTGTTGTTGCAGGCATCTCAAATCTGCCGGAATTTAGTTTCAGTAATTCTAGATTGGTATATCCGTACTTTGATACCTGAGCTATCCTTATGACAAAAAAAACCATCTGAGGCTAGAGCCCTGAATGTCCAGTTTTAAGATAAGATAAGATAAGATAAGATAAGATAAGATAAGATGATAAATCTTTATTGTCATTGTTGCACTGAAAAGAACACTGCGGACCACAAAAAAATGAACAACAAAAAAATTTTTGCAGCTCCTGTAGTGCAGATTAATCTGAACCAGAGGTGGGACCAAGTCAGTGTTTTGTAAGTCTCAAGTCTTTATCCCCAAGTCTCGAGTCAAGTCTCAAGCAAAGACAGTCAAGTCAAGTCAAGTCTCAAGCAAAGACAGTCAAGTCAAGTCAAGTCTCAAGTCAAGACAGGCAACAGTCAAGTCAAGTCCCAAGTCTGAAACTAGGAATTTCCAGTCCCCTTGAGTCTTYTTTTTAGTTGCAGCCCTAGTTTTGACGTTCGTCTTCATCACTTGACACATTTAACGCGCTGTCATTGGTTGAGGAGCTTTGTTTACAAAACAGATGTCCACATGGTTTTTAAATTGCTTTAATTTCCTTACTTTCTAAGACACATTAAGTTGATTTGATACTGCAGTTTGCCTTGTAATATTATTTTATACATTTTYTGCTACTTTTGAATTGGCTATTATTAAGTTTTATTAGTTTTTTTTAGGATACAAGATGCTTCCTACAAAAACAAATTGTGAATCTTTTCCTAAAATTTCATGGCAATATCTTGAACACTAAGCAAGTTATGAACAAAAATAGAACACAAGAAGGTGAAATGGTCACACATTGTTTCTGCTGTGAACTGCAGCAAGAAAACATGAGCTTATTTCACCTAAACAAACATCAATAACGTCCCTCATACTTGAGATAATCACATGATTTTTGTGTTATTTTGCAGGGTTTGAAATATTCTTTTGGAATCCACTGTCAGATTTAATATTGGTGTAGGATTAAAAAAATATCCACATCCCAATGTGTTTTGGAGACAATGTGCACAGTATTTACACATACTAACTCTAAATACGCATATATTATACAAAGTAACTTACTTGTTACACTGTTATGAAAATAAGCATACAAACAACTGCTCAAATATTCATAAAATAAAATATAAAAGTAAAAACTTTCATTCACAAGAGTGATGTGCTCAGATACTCCTTTCTTCACAAGAAGCCGGTTACTTGACGTCTTCTTAGGTCTCAACATCATCCTGGAACCTCTGTGGTGGCTTGATGACTCTTGAAGAACATCTTGCAGACATTATTCTAACAAAATATTTCCTCTCCACTTCGAAAAAAAYATGCAATTGCTCATAACTTTCCATTACACTGCGCCACAGAATGTCTTTATTTACCGGGCTTCCTGCAACCGATCACATGCTATTACCGTAAAACCCCTTATATCACTGAAAAGCCCAGACTCCTGGCCTTCAGGAATCATTGGAATTTTTCAGACTGCACAAATGGTCGAGAACTTACGGTTTAAAAAAAAAAGATGACAAAATGTGACAGGCTCGGTGAGGTTGTACAGAATGCGTGAAATGAATTAATGGGGCACACTTTATAAATATGTTTTAAACTTTAGATTTGGGATAAAATGTCAAGTATTTTCAAGTAAACAGGTTCAAGTACAATTCAAGTCTCAAGTTATCGGTGTCAAAGTCAAGTCTAAGTCTCTGAACATTTTTTCAAGTCAAGTCTAAAGTCTTAAAATTAATGACTCGAGTCTGACTCGAGTCCATGTCACGGGAATCGAGTCCCCACCTCTGATCAGAACATTAGAAAGATAAAATAAGAGGTAAAAAAACAATAAAAATGTCAGATAAAATAAGAAAAAAATGTAAAAAACCACAGTAGCATATAATCAGAACATTAAAAAAAGATAAAAGAGGTAAAAGAGAACAAAAAAGTAAGATAAAATAAGGTAAAAATAAAAAACAACAGTAGAAAATAAATCAGAACATTAAAAAATGTAAAATAAGAGGTAAAAAAACAAATGAAAAGATTAAAGAATATAAAAATAAAAACAATAACTGTAGCAAATAAATCAGAACTTTAAAATTGATAAATAAGAGGTAGAAAAAATTAAAAAGTAAGATAAAATAAGATTAAAAAATCTAAAAAAAAAACAACAGTTAGCAGCCATATCAGAGTATGAATTAACAGCAACAGTAGCAGCCATATCAAAGTGTCAGGTGGAAATTATTGCACATAACCGTAGTGTTACCAAGTTAATCATGTGTGTTTAGAAGTCTAACTGCTGTTGGAGAGAAACTGTTCTTGAGTCTGTTCGCCCATGCCAATGAAAAACAATGTGGTCCAGTTCTGCCACTGTGTTTTTCAAATGTGCACTCTAGGTTTAAAGAGGACATATGCAAAATCCAGTCATTTCTGTACTACTAGATAACAGCGAATCCCTCTATCAAGCTAGAAGGAACCACTCTGGAAGCTGGAGGATGAGCTGGGTGTGAAGCGTATCGTTTGGATTTAAAGAGAGTATCAAAACAAGTTGCTTTGAGACACACCTCAATGAGGGGGTGAAAAAGGAGCTTGTGAAGTTGCACTAATGAGGAATTCAGACAAAAGCATTGCAGTTCTACTTCATATAGACCTCAACTGAAATATTTAAATGTGAAAAAGAAGGATTTAGAAGTGTAGGGAGAGAGCTTAGGGTGAATTAAGCTTTTCCCACATCTCTCATACACAATGCTATGAGGAAAGTTTTACCAAGGTATTTTCTCATTACTTTTAATATCTTGACTGTGCGAAGTGAAAAGTGACACAATAAGTGAACGTTCAGACGAGTTCAAGCTGATTCATAAAAGACTATGCAATCATTTATTTACACAAATTGAACAAATCATAAGTACACTTGATTGTGGGTATTCCTATAAAAGGTGTCAAAGTTAAATGAGATAAAACTGGCGTCCGAATTTTAATTCACATCAACTTAGATTACTAATAAAGAACAGTAAAACGTCAGTTCTGATGTTACAACCAAACAATTTTACTGGCACTTTCAGCTTAAGTTTTGGCAAATAAGACAAGAAACGGATGAAAGTAAGGTTAGTATCTCTACTAATTTTACTTTATCAAAGAGTGTGGTTCAACCAGATCCGCACGTCCCTTCTGCACTCAGTTTCCACATGACACGTCAGCCTGAACACGCTCAGCTTTACCTGGTGATGACTTCTTAAATCACCCCCGGGGTAGGAACTGTCCCACCTCCGATCAGTCAGGGAACGTTATCGGCTCGCTTACTGTTCCTTGGCGAAAAGGTGGTTTTTCAGGTAACTTTTCGTCTGTTTCAGTCCAAGCCAGAAAGATTCAAGCTGGTCATCCGGTTCCTCCTTTCAAAATAAAATCTCCCCTCGGGAGTTAAAAACACACTTGGAGACTTGAAGCCTCGGGGTGGGGCTGGCTGGCGTGCCGAGCCCCAGCTGTTAGGTCCCCCCTAGTTAGCTCATGGGCTGAGACCCAACAGGCCAAACTGAGTCTCTCCCGAGAGAGAAAACTCAGCTTTCCTTCCTAGTTGGAGTCAGGAAGAAGAGTGTGTCGCTCAAAGACGTCCGTGATTAGTAAATAGAAATGGACGTTCATTGTGTACGCCCTCAGGTGTGAGATGAGTCAGAGAAAGAAAGAAAGATGAGATTTGCCAGGGCGCCAGCTCAAGGCTAAAATTCTGTGGTTGTCACAACAGAATATGATAAACTTTCTTTAGCTTTTCTTCTGATAGATTCTAAGAGAAATCACTGCAAAACATTTATGATGATTAATTAACATTGCTGTTTAAGTTATCAGTTTTGAAGCTTTTGTTAATCCAGATAAATAAAAGATTTTCTCAAGAAAAATCCACAATTATATTACTGTGTTCACAGTAAAATAAAAACAGTGATTTACATAAAAACACAATGAAAACATTGTAATGATTTTCTCTGTGATTTTTTTATGTTATTAATCTTTCAGGCAAGATAAAAGAGAAGAAGTGGTTCCACTTTTCTTGTGACAGTCATTATCATGATTTAACAAATGCATAAACATTCTGAGTTAAACAAAAACTGAATCACGAACAGAAGAGATTGTTCTGTCCATTGTCTGATTAAGAGAACCGATGAGTTCTCTTCTGGGTTGAAATGACCTGTCATGGCCGAAATAGAGTTCAGTTTGTGACAGAGTTCCTGTCCTCTCATCAGGCCTGTGCGAGGCCTGCTTCGAGGCAGTAAATCTTGTTTCTTCACTCGAGGTGACCCCTAGCATGACATGTCTCCTTTAATCATATATGTGAGAATGACTGCCAAGACAATAGAATGTGGGCAGCAAAATAATGTGTGCAGCCTGGAATACAGGCCTTCATGTCCAGTTGTCCCCCTCCTACAAGGCTGCTATTTAAGTGAGCAATAGGTGTGAATCAGGACCCCAACGATAGTCAGGTTGTTACAATCACAATAAAATAAAGTATTCTGTGAAAATAAAGAGAATAAAACATAAAATGTTTGTATTATTCTAGATGCAAGAATGACTTGTATATACTTATTTTTGTCTTCATATTTTCACTGAATGAATTATCTGGGTCACGGCTTGACCGAACTTATAAAAACAAGGGACACCTGTGACAGGGAGAGATGGGTGTGGCAGATGAAGCGGCGTGGTGTGTCGTGGCAGCACAGACGGGTGG